AGAATGACATTTCTTCATTCTTCACGTAGTTTCCAGAATCTCTCAGATTCTTAAGTACATTCAAGAAGGCTTTTTTTTTTTTTCTCTACACATTGTTTAAGGCAGGAGATTTACAACCTCGGCAATTTTCCCTCTGTTCCCTGCAATCCCACCACCACCACCTTCCCCAGATGCAATAGGTTTTGATGTTTTAACTCAATGAAATTTAGGGTTCCTTTTTCTAGAGTAGTTCCATTTTAGTTTTCTCATCCAGGAAGAGATCTGTGAAACACAGTCCTTGAAGACTCTTTTCAAATAGCTAGCAACCAAGGAAGAAAAGGCTCTCGGGTTGTGACATGACTATGAGTACATCCTTATATCTGCTGACAAAAAATAGTACCTAGAGCCACAAAGTGTCCCCAGAAAAGCAGAATTTCAAAAGACAAGCAAATTTATTGTCTATTTTACAATTTTTCACTTATTAAGTCAGGTGTCACCCAGACCAACAGATTCTGTAGAATACCAAAGTGTCCCAGAAAGCGATAGTGGACTGGAGAAATTAAACAGACAATAAAACTATCTGCACCCAGAAGTTTGAGATACTCACCACTGAATACTAAAGGCCTCTTCACATAACATGTTGTGCGAAATACAGATCTTTATTGAAATATGTGCATTCATATAAAATTTCTCCTTCACACTTTAAAATTGCTGTAGTTTTTTTTCCCCGAAACCAAGATCTATACAACTCAGAACTCAAATGATAGTTTTGTTTAGGAAAAAACCCAAACACTTTATTTGCTTTTCCTACTACTTTATTGTTAAGGAATTTGTAAGAGATTTTGTAAGAAAGAAAACTCCATACTCATAACATATTTCCTATGCTTATTAACAGGACTTATAGCTACCTCATGGGAACTGGGGAGAGTGTATCACAGTATGCCTTCTCCTACAGGTGCATGAAATCGGAGATATCAAAGCCTTTTAAGAAAGTTAGGCTACCAGCTAACAGACTTGCCAAAGTATAAAGAACAAGACTCAGTCTGACACTGAAGCCGGTAAGATTTCTTTCAGTTGCTTATAAAGCTACTAATGCAAAGGAATCACCGATCTGACAAAAGCCTCTGGACACTACGGCAAACCAAATAAATGAAGAGACAAAAGTAGTTAGTGTATGTTAGGGCTGGAAAACACATAGCACCAGCATTGTAGTAATAAGATGCTACTGCCATATAATTGCTTTTCTGACCATATCCAGACATAGTTAAATCACAAAAAATCAGAGCCAGAAAGACCCAGTAGGTCTTCCAGTCCATTTTCCTGCCAGTGCAGATGATTGTAAGGTAACTCTTCTGTATCTGTATCAGATAAAAGATCTACCGCTACAGGCAGGGTGTGGGGTCTGGTTTCCATCCAGCCTCAGACTTTAAACAAAATCTAAGTGGAAGTTCACTTTGGTCAAAACCCTGCAAGTCTCACAACAGATACAGACCTTAGATTTTCCTATAATGCTTGGAGTAGTCCTGCCAGACACACACACATCTGAGCACAGATTCGAGACAGAAATATCTGAAGGCAAGGTAGAGGCTATAAATGCTGTCTATTACTAAATTTTTTCCAAATAAAGTGAGAGTGAAACATTAGTAAAACTGGTCCATCACTGACTATGTAGCTTAACAGACCTACACTGGTAAAACAATATATGCCAACAAGAGTAAAACAGGTTTTACTGATTCTGTATCTTTACTGATTCTGTATCTCCTCATTTTCTAAGTTCTCTGGCAAAAATTGATTTAATCATGTTCACTTCTAAGGATTTATAAACATGCATACCAAATGGACTAGCTAGGATGACCATGATATCATCTGCATCACGCAAATCAAGTTAAGAGCTGCATTTGGAAGAAGGGTGGTTTTAACTTTTCAGTGTACCATATAATTTTTAAAGAAATGTAGCATATTAAAAGCATGAAGAAGCTACATTAAAACACTTACTGTTCTTATATGATGAAACCAAGTTAGTATTAAAGCAGCGATACTGCAAGGATTTGTCTTTCTATTTCAAGAAAGTTTTAATATATGAAGAAGATATATGAGAAGAAAATATTGTTACCAAGGATTTTGGCAGTAAAGGAACTTGTGTTAGAAGTCAGTTCGACAATTCTTTGAATCTAAAAGACCTATAAGTACTAAAACGTCATCTGTCTATCCATGTGAGATTTAGCTTTGGCAGTATTTCAGAAGTGAAAAAACATTCTTTTTTATATATTTTCCCTACGACAATATATTTTCAAAGCTGTCTAAGAGGCCATATTCTCTTGAGAAGTAAGATGTATATGTGTTACAGAAATATTTGCAGAAAAAAGCTAAGTTTGAATGGTCACAACAATCAACGGGTCAAACTGTGGATAAAAGCACAAAGTGTGGAATCTATTGTCAAGAGCCGACACTTAAAGATTTCAAATAATTTCTTCAATTTAGAGATTCATTGTTCTGTTCAAGCTAAATTAAAGAAAGCATTTGGAAGCTAACCGGATTGTCTCCATATAAATTGGTCTATTGTTAAGTGATGCCATTATCAGCCCCTCTCCCCCTCTTTTTTTTTTTTTTTTTTAATTATGTACTATTCCAGATACAGGTCTGGAAAATTGAGCTGTCTGGCTCATAGGGCTATTTTTTTCAAATGCTTTAAAAATAAAAAGAGAGAGAGAAAAGGTTAGAAAAGAAAGCAAGACAAGGAGTGCACTAATTGCTCATCCCTGACCTCTCCCAAACCACTGCAAAACTGATAAAGTTGCCTGAGCTGTTTTCTATGCAGTTTAGCTTTGGCCTTTTTCAATACTCACAGGGGCACCAATGCCCCCTTTAAAGCTGGGGCTACACATGGAATAATAAGAGATCTGTGGTTTGTTTTTTTTTTTTAAGATGAAAACAAATTATCTTTAATTTACATTTAAAAAAAATCCTGTGAAAAGATAATTCACTAACTGTAGTTGCTGATCAGTCCAACTATGGTGAATTCTGCCAGCTGTGCTCAGCTGATAAAGACATTAAAATAACAAGAAATTATTACATGTAAATTTTGAATACTTACACATTCTTGGATTTGAATGCTTCAGCAAAGTGCTGCACACTCTGAAGAGAAGCAAGGTCTAAGGTCATTGCTTCTACCTTGGCTTTATGCTGGAACAAGAGAAAATATAGAAAAAGATAAATAACAGCAAGTTTAGTTCACAGTATCATGTTACAGTAACTGTGTTATGAAACTTGTCCGATTCCCCTGCTTAACATTATAACCCCAAAGTGAATACAAATCATCAAAAAGAATGGACGAGCACAACATTTAGTGCCAAAAGCAGCATTGCAATTTTGTGGTTCTGCTAAAAACATACACTATGTAACACACAGCTTTATATAATACAATGAATTGACACAAGGTGGTGTTAAGGTTAATACGGTATCTTTTTTCTTCCATTTAGCCGGTGAAACTTATGTAACTCATGAAATAAAAAGTAGAGTAAGCATTATTCTTAATGCATGGTATTTTTTACATACCATACAAATAGAAAAATACTCAGTAAATACTCCATAAAAACCAGCTAAATTCAAACGTGCACATATTAATCCAAAACAATCTATCGTTCATAGCAGGTGATATAACAGACAGTATAAAATGAGTATAGAAAACAACTGATCAGTCTGCAGTTTTTCATACAGTTTACCAGTGCATAATATCTTCTAAAGAAATTGCGTATGTGTTAAAGTTAAACCCAACTTTTCACCTAGAAGAGGATGTGCAGTCCCACAAAATGACAGGTTAACCTGAAGGTGCTAACCTTAGGCACCACCAAAACAACTTTTCTCAATATTTTCAGCTTGAAGATCCCTGTTCTCAGATCTTTTGAAACGCTTACACTCCAAATCTCAGAACAAAATGAACCAAAAGTCTATTTTCATTGCAACCAGTAAAGAGAAAGTCATCACAGAATCCAGTGGACTGTGGCTCTTTCAAGCCACAGTTCTGAACTAGCTTTCATTTGACTGCAGCTGTGTGTCTGCACCGCAACATCCAACAGTTGTCTTTTGTTCTTCCACAACCGCTATACTTTAAGACATCTATGATCCTCCGCAAAATACCAACCGTCATGACATATAAGTCACGTAGATCCCCTAAGGAATTATGAACGTGTGTATTTGTTCTCACCCTCGCTTTTAGACTCACTGCTGCCCAACATCACATAAACTCTCTTCTACATAAAAGAAAGCTGGCTAAAGCCCTGCACTCTCCCCAAACCTCAACATGTCAACTTTCAGTCCACTCTGTTTAGCTTATTTAGGAAAAAAGAAATTAGAAGGACACTTTATGTAATTCCAACATGCTACCTACACCTATGTACAACGGTCATGGTTCAGACTGGACATTAGCACTGCTAAAAGAAAGAGTAAGAAAAAGGTGGAGCAGATACAGTGGTACTATGTAATCAAAGGCAGCATTTGAGTGGAGAGGCAATAGGAGCTTTGTTAGCACGGTGGTGCAACAGGGGATCTGCTGTGATTACAAGGTTATACAATGAGCATTTCTGGAGTAACCAAAAGGAAGCAGCACACACGTCAGTGCAGAAGGAAGCCGAGAAGAGTGCTCCCATTGTCTCCCACGTTCAAGCAATTCATCTGATTGTGTTTCACTACATCTGGTACTTTTCTCCCTACATCTGTTTTCTGTTTTGCTAGCACCCATTCTGCCCGCTACAATTACCTTACAGGTTGGGTTTAAACAGAATGTCACTCAAATTCCTTTTGTTCCACTCCAGCCAGACTTACCAGGACAGCAAAATAAATACAACTAAAATTTCAACAGGTTCAGTTCCCATCAGGAAGTATCAACTGATGGAATCTGAAAATGCTAAACCCAACTTTGTTATGAAGAGTTTTTTTACCCTCACAAGACGCACATCACTCTGGAATTCCTTTGGCCCCACTGGGTAAATATTTTCTTCTGTTTGACGGTCAGAGACTTGAGAAAGATGATGCTGCCTTGCATTATGCAATAGAGCTCTGTAACAACTTCTCTCCAACTTTGCAGTTCAAAGCTGTTTACTTAATAGAGAAGTAGTGTGCATAGTTGGGTTTATTTTGCTTCTGTTTTCCTCAGTTGAAACATTCTCTTGTCTCTCCCAAGGCTAAAAGGACAAGACATAAGGGGGGTGAAAAAAATAATAATCAAGTAGTTCAACAGACTATACCACAAGCCATTAGTTACTCAGGTAATGCTTTTCCTCTTGGTGCCACATGTTAGGCTTCTGCTACCGATTCCAAGAACAGAAGAGAGGTGTCCGTATAGTTCAAGTCCAAAAGAAAAAAAAAAAAGCATGACGCCGCCAAAATACTTTCAGAAATAGAAATTAAACAGACTAAGACTGGCCTGGATTTGTGGATGAATATATTGAAAATATAAAAATCAGAAATTTAAAAATCATAAATAAATTATTGAAAGTGATAAACGGTTGACTGTTAGATAGCAAATGCAAACATAATTATAGTTTCTTCTGTACTAGTTCCATCAGTGAAATGAGACCAGCTGTCTATTCATACTCTGTTTTCTTCAGCCAGTAAGATAATTTATTTCAACCAGTTTAACACTACTTCACCTTTTTTCTTTTAGCTTTGGTACACATACAGTTACAGAAGAAGACAAAGAAAACATTTGTTAAGAAATTCAAGAAACTGTATCTAAGATGACCTGAAAAAGGAAAAATGGAGAAGGAAAAAAAGGATGGGTTTTGCATTTTTTTCCATCAAATAGGTCAGCAGAGGCAAATGGTAAAATAAAAATTTTTTCAACTTTCTCCCTGCTTTTGCTTTTTAAAAACCTGATGGTGACAGTCTGTATTTCCTTCATATATACATGAGGTACATACTGAGCACAGATACCCATTTGCTCTGTTTTCCTCAAAGGAGAAACTGGAGCATGTGACATCCAAAGCACGCGGATCAGAGCTTGCCACCTCAGCTTCTGAAGGCGTGCAAAAAGCCAAGTGTCAGTGTTATCTCCAAACAGGGGAAGGAATCAGTTTGCGTACCGTGAGCTTAGGTAAGTTCCCCAACTTTTCTGTTTCAGATTCTCCCTTGCCAACTAAGATGCAAGCACCTCTCACTCCGCAGAGGTATTTCATAGACCATCAACTCCTGCTATTGTTTGAGAACATGAAATGCTAAGCCTTTAGTATCATCCCATTTTCATTCCAAATTTTCCGACTCTTACTTCTGTGTTACAATTCCTTTTAAAAAAGCTATGAATAAGGCAATATACTTGCAAGGCGTGTTCTTAATAATGTAAGAATATCTCCAATCAATGACAAATAGAATGTTTTTGGTTTGTTTTCTTACAGTAGCTCAGTATTACCTTTGTTATAATGTTTTCCCTCTTGCCCTATAAGCCTAGGTAGCACATATTGTGGTACTTATAGAAAAAGAAAACATGTTTTCTTTAATAAAAAATAAAACTAAAAAAAAATTTTTGCTAAAAGGCATTGTAACTGTAATTGTAATCCACAGTCAGTACTGATTGTTAATGGTATGCTGCAAATCCTGATCTAACGTGTCATAATTGTATTATGCTGATGTCTCTCACCATTTCACTTCACAAATTTTCAGTACTGAATTATGCCTCATTTTATGTTGTGAAATCTTAAATGGCACTTGTCACTTTCCCAATACAGAAGACAGTCTTAAAACTGACATCGTAAAATCAACACACTGAGGCAGAAAACTCCAGAATTTTTAAAATTAAATTGACAAAAGACAGCAATGTTCCCTCTACTACTTTATTTTCAATTACATCATTTAAGGGGAAACTAAGTAACAGAATGAGTGTAGAATAATTTAAAGAGCTCACTTCTAAATCACAGGATCATTCCTACGTGGCGTTGTTGAGAGCCTGTGCAAAATGAGCTGGTGCCCTCGCTGCAGATCCCCAGGACAAATGTCCCAGCTGTGTCCAAAACCACTTTCACAACTACACTCAGACCAGCTTCGCAAACTGGCAAAAGGAGAACGGACACAAGAGGCGGACACCCTTCTGCTGTCTACTGGACCTTGTGAGAACAAGGTCAGCTAGAACCAACGGAAACAGTGCTTTTGGGATGGGGAGTACTTGCGTTTCATGAAGCCCAAAGAGCAGTTCAAGGCTAACAATGTCTAGGCACCAACATCCTGTCCTTGAAGAAACAGCTGCAGGTGGACCATTCTATGGTTCCTAACAAGTCCTCTTTTAAACACAACACAACAGCATTTTGAAAAGTGCAAAGAAAGAAATTTTATCTTGTATTTGACAATTTTATGCCCAGTTCTAAAAGCATTTTATCAATATCTCTGGGTAAGTTTCATTACTCTAAGTAACACCAGAAAACAGTTTGTTTAGTTTTGTTATGTAAGCTGCTCCTTATTGGAGCAAAAATATTAAAAATGCTTAAGTGCAATTCGTTATATTTTGCACTTACGCTAGAAAAATGCTTATTGAGCCAGAAACTAACAAGAAAGTGAAAACATCCAGAAAGCAAGCAATTTCACTATATGCAATGTATTCACTTTACAGCTTAAAAACTGTTTAAAAATGAATACCGCATGGTAGACTAGTTTGGCAGTAAACATGATTGTGCATTTGTGTCTTGGTATTGAAGAAGGAGCCTTTTTTCATAGTGAATTTTTCATTCAAATCTAAGTGATGATTTACGTTAAATATAGGTAAAGCATAGCAACATTTTCCTGAAGGATTGCAAGGAAGCGAAGAGCAGTACAATAAGTTGAAGCATAAAAGCTTTCTCTGTCATAATATTTATTATAATGGCATATAAAATAGCTGAAATAAATAATAGATGACTAAAAGTAAATTCATATGATAAAGAATCTTTCAGCAGACACCATTACTTCTGACTGCTCCAGTTTCATACAGAGTTGAAGAGTCTTAATAAATATGCTGTAGCCCCTGTATCTTATGTAAGTACAAGTCATTTTGTAAGGGCCTACTTAAAATGTAACATAGTGGACACTAGATAATTTACTGTATAATTTTACTCTCAAAAAATATCGTGTATATATCTTCGATATTTAAAAGCCCTTAACTCAAAACTGAATACATAGCACAACAACAAAAATATCTGACTTTGAGGGACTGAAAATACAGT